TTTTGGCTCCTGTAGTTTTGCTTCGAAATCCGGCTCCAGCTCCAATTCCAGCCGGATCTGTTAGCAGAAATCCGGCAAATCCAGCTCCGGCCGAATTTGGAAAAATTAAATCCGGTACAACCCTATTGGTTATATTGTCTTGTGCGATGTTTATATTCTCGTTTATTTTTATTATACTCTAATATATGTCATTATAATGCCATATTCTTGTGTATAAAAGTTTAATTTCTTTTAATATTATAAATTATTTTTGTACAATAAAGAGGAATTTAGCATTGCCTAATCTATCGACTATCTTTTAAGCTTCTTTTAAAAAATGAATTAGATCAAAAAATTATGTATCTTATTAGCGTAGCTGTGTGTTTAACTTCATTTTCTGTTTTGTATAAAAAAATAAAAAGTTCAAAAAATGAAATTCATATATATTACTAAATTTATTAACAACTTAGGAAGAACTAAAATGATTATAAATAAATGTTCACAAAATATAGGTCAGACAAAATGATAGATTTTGTTTTTTACTGGATAAGTAAATATACATACACAGACACACACACACACACACACACACACACACACACACACACACACACACACAGATATATGTATAAAGACCTCAGCATAAATAGCAGGCGATTATCTATGCTTGCCTGCACACCTGTGTAAGTCAGTTTACATGGGCAAAGTATAGCTCATGCAAATAAACAATTTTATTTTAAACAACAAAACTTAATGTCTTTTATGTTGAGTCGTATCTTATTTACGTAAACAAAAAATGTAAAAAATATCTAGCACATTTAAAATAAAATATGGTTTAAGTATTACATAATTACACAATCATAAAAAAAATTAAATCTTTTTTATTAAACAATAATAAAAATTTGTTAGCTTAAATTTGAATTACGTAACGTAAAAATTTTTTAAAGTATTGAACTTATTCATTCAAGTTTTATATGTATGTATGTATGTATGTATATATATATACATACATATATGTATACAACTATATATATATATATATATATATATATATATATATATATATATATATATATATATATATATATATATCAGGCCTTGCGATAAAGCGTCGGGCGATGTGAATTTTACGCCGTCTAAGAGAGATTTTGCGTGTAGCTAGGGCTATTTGCGTCGAGCAAAAAATTTTTTGTTTGAGTATATTTAAAGATATTTTTGAGCGGAATTTTAATGTAGTAATTTACGATTATTTTAACATTTAATAAAGTATTTTAAAAACCGCACGCAGTTGAAATAAAAGTTTGAATTAAAAAAAATTAAATATGCTCTTTATTTACAAGTAGAAAAAATTCAGATTAAAAAACAAGTTTAAATATTTTAAGCTAACATTTTAATAAAATTATTCAGCAATAGCAAAGTTGTCGATAAAATTGAACAAAAATACTTTCTTTTTGTTTTAGATTTTAAACTTAAATAATTATTTTACGGGGGTTTGTTAGGTTTTAAAATTATTCAATAGATTTAAAAATATTTATTAACTGTTAAACGTATTTAAAGTATTTAAGAGTAATTTCGAGGAAACATTTTAAAAATTGGTGAGCGCAAATAAATAAAAAAAAAAAGGATTAATATTAAAACGTATTCTACTTGATTCAATAAAAAAGTACTGTTATTAAAATTTTTGTAAAAAGTAACTCAAAAAAATTACTTAAATAATAACGATCGCTTTTATGTTAAAAGTTAATGAAACTCAACGAAGCGTGCTCAAGAACTGCTGCTGAAAAATAAAACGTCAATAGTTTTTCGAATAATTTTTAATAATATTTTTTAAGAATAATTTTTTCGCTGAAATATTTCTTTTATACCTATAAGATTTTTATTCTAACATTTTATTTTATTTTACTAGAAATAAAATTCCTTGTTAACATTAAAAATCTATTCAAAACGTTCGTTTAAGTTTTTTATTAATACGAGTGATTGTGCTTATCAACCGCTTTATGAAAATAAATAAAAATAAATAAATATTATATAAAATCGCTTGTAAAAATATCAGTTTTTAATATTAAAATTAAGTTTATTACTCGCTGACTTTTTAAAAAGAAAAAATAATTATTTGAAAAACTTTAAATTACATATTTAAGAAAAAAAAAATCAAATATTAGCATATTTTATAATCTTTTTTAAATTTAAGTTAAAATGTTTTTTATTCGTTTAGTATAGACAAAACGTGACAAACGTCGAGAAAATAAACAAATGTTTTTACATTTTAAAAAACGAAACATTCCAAAACATTTTTAAATAATAACATAAACGATTTAAAGTAGTTTTGCAGTAATTAAGTAAATTGGTGAAGTTAATGTTGATAAATATGAAAAGTAAATAAAAAGAATTTAATGACGTCAAAAATCAAGCGTGCTTATGCGTCGCGCAGTTCTTATTCATTGCAAGGCCTGATATATATATATATATGTATATATATACATATATATATATATATATAAATGTATATATATACATATAT